TGGAACTAGGGATTGAACTCTGGCCCTTGCAGTTGCCAGGGAAGTGCTTATTCCACTGAGCCATAAAAAAACTTATGAAATTTTAATAAAATTAACCACATCCCAGAATATGTTACTATAGGTAACATTCACAATACTCATAGGAGGCAACACAAAATGCTTGGAACTTTTTTGGATGACTTCTACCTCAGAAAGCTCATTTTATTTAGTTATAAACAATGTTAAAAATTAAGGACTATAGGTTATTTCAGAACCTTGAATGTGCTGGAGCCATGCTGGTGCCAGGCCCTCAGGCACCTGAAAGTAGTTTTGGCTATGGGTAAGTCTTTGGGAGGAACATCACTATAAAGAGAGGCAGGAGTGCAGACCATAGCAGGTTGGCTGGAGATTCAGAACTTCAAGATGTTATCTAATATATATATATATTCATATATATATTCATATATATATGAATAAAAATAGCAAAAAGTAGAAATGATGCAGAATTTTACAGAGCAAAATGATAGAATTTCAATCATGGTTGTTATATTGCATAATGTTATCTTCAAGTTAATTGTTTAGATTACCAGTTGCATGCAAAAATAGTAACAAAAAAGTTACAGGAAATTAAAAAGAAAAATCTTAAAGCATTATTGATTCCTTTCAATAGATCAGCAGAAATTAGCAGTATAATTATCCCAGCTAGCTTGTATATATACATCAATATATCTTTTTCCCTTCTTTTATTTTGTCCTTTGCCTCATCCCAGTTGTTCCTCCCTGTTGAAGAAAGTCTTTCCCTGTCACAATATCTATTGTACCTTTCAGATTTTATTTACTCTTTCAGGTTCTTACACTAGAGAGACAATATGATGTTTACATATGTAGGTGTGATTTATTTCACTTATGAATATGTTCTCTAGTTGCATCCATTTACTTGTAGAAGGCTTGAGTTTATCTTTTCTTAGCTGATGAATCTTTGTTTGTGTAAAAATATCACATCTTTTTTATCCATTCCTCAGGTGAAAGGCATTTGGGTTGTTTCCAAGATTTAGCTATGTCAAATTGCACTGCTATAAACATGGGTGCACATATTTCACTACAATATGATGTTTTCAATTTTTTTTTCAAAAAATACCCAGGTTGGGAAGAGCTAATTTCAATGGGATCTCCAATCCTAGCTTTTTGAGAAACCTCCACACTGATTTCCACAGTGGCTATACCAGTCTACACTCCCACCAAAAATAGAGAAGCGTTCCTTTTCCTTCACAGCCCCTCCAGTATTTGCTATTGATTGACTTCTTGATGATGACCATTCTTTCTGGGGTGAGATGGAACCTCAGTGTTGTTTTAATTTGCATTTATGGAATGACCAGTGCTGTTGAACATTTTTTCATATATTTATTTACCATTTATATTTCATCAGGAAGTGTGTATTCATCTCTAATGTCCATTTTTAATTGAGTCTATGAATTTTGTTTTTTAAATTTTATTTTATTGAGAAACAAATATCAATGAGACAGATTTCCAAGCTGATTAATAGGACATTTTCAATAATTAATACATTGAACATTGTTATCTTGTCAGCGGTCATCCACAGCACAAGAAGCAGCCAGGACATCCAGTCCAAACACTGCTACTATAAATCCTTCCTCTCACTGAACCAAGCAAAAGCAGCTGTACATCTATCCTGATTATTCTGTATGTACAAATACAAAGTGGTCCTTCCTCTGTATCCCCCATCTCCAGTTCAGTCCTGTCAGAGATGGGTATTCTATTGGCATCTAAATATTATAGGCGCTTGAATTCAGCAAAACAATCCAACACAGTCCAGTAGTCCACAATGGTAGGGGGTTGTCCGCAGAAGTTGTTGGCTAGAGCATTTTACAGCTCAGCATATTAATATGACTTTGGGCTGGGGAGATGGCTCAGTGGAGTAAGGGCTTCCCTGGCACGCACAAGGGCCTGAGTTCAATCCTCAGTTCCACACACACACACAAAATATGGCTTTACTTTATGTACTTCATTTTTATACTTTTCTGCTGGATGGTTAAGACCAAGATAAAGCAAGACCTATATAGCAAGAAATGTAACTTTTGTATCTGTTAAGGTCAGTCAAGTCCCCTCAGTATTTATCCTGTAATCCTGTACTGCACTTTGTAGACCCTTTGTCAGTGTCAGCCATGTGGATGAGTCACAGCCAATGCTTGACCAATTTACTCTCTGTGAAAGCCTGAGAGAAAGTTTTTTCTCCATGTGATTCTCCTTGGGCACACTATACATCATCAAACACATTCCTCTGTGGCTCCATAATCTCCTTGATCAGAAAATTTGGGGCACAACTGAGTTACATGATATTACAGCACAGGTTCTCCTATGTCCTCAGTCTTCACTGAACTTGAAAGGCTAGGGCCAAAATGTTGGCAGACCTTGCAGCCTTTCCTTTTCTTCAATTTTTGATCTGCAAACTTAGGTTGTTAACTCTCCAGGGGAGAAGCTTATTATTACCCTGCAACATATGCAGTTCGGTTTACCCTATCTGTCTAAATATTGAACATCTTAGGCATAACATGGAACAGGTATCTTCCATCAAGTATTAATGTGTTGAAATTTAAGTCCTTACAGAA